CGCAGTCTACACACTAGACCTCAAGTTTATAATCGCAGTCTACACACTAGACCTCAAGTTTATAATCGCAGTCTACACATTAGACCTGAAGATTATAATTGCAGTCTACACACTAGACCTGAAGATTATAATCTCAGTCTACACACTAGACCTCAAGATTATAATCGCAGTCTACACAATAGTGTGTAGACTGCAATTATAATCTTCAGGTCTAAAGGTCTAGTGTGTAGACTGCAATTATAATCTTTAGGTCTAGTGTGCAGACTGCAATTGTAATCTTCAGGTCAAGTGTGTAGACTACAATTATAATCTTCAGGTCTAATGTGTAGACTACAATTATAATCTTCAGGTCCAAGATTATAATCGCAGTCTAAACACTAGACCTGAAGATTATAATCGCAGTCTACACATTAGACCTGAAGATTATAATTGCAGTCTACACACTAGACCTGAAGATTATAATTGCAGTCTGCACACTAGACCTGAAGATTATAATTGCAGTCTGCACACTAGACCTGAAGAATATAATTGCAGTCTCACACTAGACCTGTAGTGTGTAGATTACAGCTATAATCTTGAGGTCTAGTGTGTAGACTACAATTATAATCTTGAGGTCTAGTGTGTAGACTACAGTTATAATCTTGACCTGAAGATTATAATTGCAGTCTACACACTAGACCTGAAGATTATAATTGTAGTCTACACACTAGACCTCGAAGATTATATTTGCAGTCTGCACACTAGACCTCAAAATTATAATTGCAGTCTGCACACTAGACCTTAAAATTATAATTGCAGTCTACACACTGGACCTGAAGATTATAATTATAGTCTACACACTAGACCTCAAGATTATAACTGTAGTCTACACACTAGACCTCAAGATTATAACTGTAGTCTACACACTAGACCTCAAGATTATAACTGTAGTCTACACATTAGACCTGAAGATTATAATTGCAGTCTACACACTAGACCTCAAGATTATAACTGTAGTCTACACACTAGACCTCAAGATTATAATTGCAGTCTACACACTAGACCTGAAAATTATAATTGCAGTCTACACACTAGGCCTGAAGATTATAATTGTAGTCTACACACTAGACCTCAAGATTATAATTGTAGTCTACACACTAGACCTGAAGATTATAATTGCAGTCTACACACTAGACCTGAAGATTATAATTGCAGTCTACACACTAGGCCTGAAGATTATAATTATAGTCTACACACTAGACCTCAAGATTATAACTGTAGTCTACACACTAGACCTCAAGATTATAATTGCAGTCTACACACTAGACCTGAAAATTATAATTGCAGTCTACACACTAGGCCTGAAGATTATAATTGTAGTCTACACACTAGACCTCAAGATTATAATTGTAGTCTACACATTAGACCTCAAGATTATAATTGTAGTCTACACATTATACCTCAAAA